CTAGGTATATAGCTTATTAAATAAAAGGTTTAAATTAAACTTATAATTTTTAATTATAAACTTTTTTTTTATTTAGCCTTTTTTTATTTAATTCTAATAAAAATAATTAATTTAATTTTATTAAGAAAGTCTTTGTTTATTTAAGGCCCTTAAAAAAAAGCTAAAGAAATATAAGTATTTTACTTAGAAAGAAATTAATTTCCTTAATAGCTTAAGAAATAATAATAATATATATTTATATAAGGTATAGCTTATAACTTATATTATTAATATTAATACTTTTTATAATATTAAATAAAAAAATTAAAAAAGTCTCATAGCTAGCTAAGATTTAGTTATATAGTTATAAGCGTAATTATATTAAGAAATAGAGGTTATTAGTATTATAGGTTTTAAATAGATTAGTTCTTAGAGTTAATATTAGAGTTTTATAAACCTAAAAAGTATTAGCGCTAAGGCTTAGTGCTAAATTAAAACTTAGTAGTAAATAGAAATCTATAGCTTTAATTAATTAAACTTATTTAATTAAATATATAATATATATATCTTAGCTTATATAAATATGTAAATAATAATAATTTTAAGAATAATTTTAATAATAAATATAAGTAATAATACAAGTATTAAAAAATAATAATTAAAAATAGTTAATTAGACTAGGTATTTAATACTATAATATATATAATAAGCCTAGTTATAATATAAGGATTTATTAAGTAATAATTAAGATATTTAAAGAAAAATATAATAAATAGTTTTAATTAATTAAATACTTTATAATATTTTTATTATAATTTCTATTTAAAGGGGTAAGAGAAAGTAGCTTACTTACTTATTTAGCTTACTTACTTATTAAGTATATTATAGCTATAAATATTAATATTAATTAAGGAGGTAATAAAATTATTAACCCCTTAGGCTTTATAGACCTTAAAGATTATATTTAAGACCTAATCTTAATTTAAATACCTTAAGAAATAAATTAAAAGGCATTAAAGTATCTTTCTAGAGTTAATTCTTAAAGTATTAAAGTCTCTTATAAAGGGAATAAAGGTAATTATATATTAGATAGCTCTTATAAGTATAAAAACCTAAAATATTTAATAAGTAAATAAAATACTAAGTTAGTACTAAAAGGTAAAAAAGGACTTTATTATAAAACAAAAGAGTTATAATAATAAACAAAAAATTTAATTAAATAAATATTAATATATAAGTAATAACTAAATTATTATATAATAATAATTAAAGTAAATTAATATAACTAAGTATTTAATATTATAATATTTATAATAAGCCTAATTATAATATAAATACTTATTAAGTAATAATTAAGATATCTAAAAAGAAATATAATAAATAATTTTAATTAATTAAATAATTTATAATATTTTTATTATAATATTTATTAAAAAAATTTAAAAAAATAACATATTTATTTAATTATAATATTTATTATATATATATATTATTATACTTTATAATTATATTTATTATAAGTTAAAATTAATTATAAATAATAATTAAATTTTATATTTAGCTCTTTAATAATTATATTTATAAACGAAATATATTTTAAGCTCTTAGTATTACTTAATAAAGTTTAAAGTCTAAGATATATTAATTAGTAATATATTATAATTAATTAATAATTAATTAGCTATTTATTTTATCTTATAAAGCTAAGAGAGAAATACTTATAAATTAAATTAAAAATATAATAAATAAAAATCTCTTTTTTTAAGTTAAATAACTTATATAATTTTATAATAGTTTTATATTTAAAAAGAATACCTTTTTATTAGCGCTATAGTATTATATAATTAATATTATAAATCTCTATAGCATATTAAAGGCTTAATTTTAGGTTATTTTAAACAGCTTAACATATAAGAAGTACTCTAGCTTTATTATTTAATTAAGGTATATTAATATATAAGAATGAATTAATTAAATAAAGTTAATATAAGTTAAGGGATTTTTATTATTCTTACTTATCTATTATATTTACTTATTATATATATTACTTTTTTATATATTTAAAATAACTTTATTAAAGAGATAAATAAGCTTTATAAAAGTATAAAAACACTTATAATACATTATAAAAAAAGATTAAAAAGTTAAAGTAAAGCTTTAATTAATTAATTTATTATATAACCTAGTCGTTCGTAACAGGTATTAAGTTAGGTAATTAATAGCTAACTTATAAGGGAGTAGCCCCTAAGCCATAAGAGAAGAGCCCTATAGCCTAGACCTAAGGTTATTTCTTTATAGTTATAATAAGACGAATTATAAAGAGTTAGGCCTTATAATATCTCTATATTATAAGTATTCTAAGATAGCATAATCGCAATTATTATAATTACTTATAAATCTTTTTAACTTAATAATTAATTAGCTCTATTATAAGAAGTAAAATACCTCTACCTTCTTATATATAAAGGTTAATATTTTAGGGTTTTATTTTTATTTTTAATATACTAAGTAAAATTAACTAATAAGATATAACTAAGATATATTAATACTTATAGCTTGCTTCCTTTCTTTACTTTTTAACTCTTTATCTTAAATAATAACTAAGCTATAATAGCTCTTTATTTACTAATTAATCTCCTTTTCTATCATATTTCTTATAGCATAAAAAAATCAGCTAAAATGCCTTTTATATATTAGGTACTTATAAAAATCAGTATTAGTAGGGCTAACTTAGCCTGGGATAAAGCTCTTAAAATTAACTTCTATAGATTAACAAAAGTTTTAAGATGCGTCTTTTAGATCTTGAACCCTTTACTGAAAAATTCCTTCAAAAAACCTCTCCATATCATCCACATCTTCCAGCTCTCCAATCCAGCTAACATATTGATCCGGCCGGACGACCACAACACAGCCCCTAGTAGTATCAATGCCATAGCTTGCATACGCCTGCCCATGCCCTTCATGGTATGACACGTCGTCTACAAAAACCTTTTCATAATCCCAGCCATATTCTTCTGAGTAAGGGTGAAAAATGTCCGGCAACGAGAGCAGCTCAACCTCGTGTCGGGGGGAAGAATGAACAGTCAGGATTTCGAAAAATGAGGCCAACCTTTCATCCTCTTCAGGCTTGTAACGGTTCAAGAATGAACTGGGCGAGCTCAATGCTTTTCCAAGAGCTGACAACCGCGAGAACTGGGAAGGATTGAGAACATCTCCAGCGAAGACGACAACTCGCCAGGCCCCAGTGCTCGGCATCAGTTCTTGGAGATGCCATGGCCTCGCATCTGACTGATTTAAAACCTTGTAACTTGGTATGCGCATTCCAATGGGAATTTTTGGAGCAAGCTCTTGCTTCCCAATCGTCGCGACGGCTCCCGTTCCATTCGCGTTTTCAATGGCCTGGTGCTTGGCTACAATGATACTTGCACCGTAGTCGACAGCGCAGCCGCTGGCGAATAGGTTGCCTTTGTCAAAAACTTGCTTGAATGTCTTCAGGTCTATGCCCCCTTCATCCAGGACGTCCTTGGCAGGCCGGCCCGAGAAGAGGCGGGAAAACCTTTGATCAAACTCGATCAGCTCTTTTGCGATTTGCCTCCGTTCGGTAGTGTATGTCGTGAGAAGCGATCGCTTCGCCCATCCCTTGACGACAGAAGCTAGCTTCCATCCCAGATTGAATGCTTGAGCCACGGTGGTTAGAGTCGTATGATACTGAAGGAGATACTTGAACTTACTGTCATGCATACTGATATTCATGCCTTGACCAGCTTTCGGGCTGTGTGTGTGCACTGCATCGCCAGCAAGGAAGACGCGATCATGTGCATTGAATTTCGAGCCCACTCTTTGTCCGATGCGGTATGCAGTCCACCAGTGACAATGCTTGTAGCTGAGTTTGTAAGGCGAGAGGATCTTGCTGGCCGCTTGGACTAAGGTCTGCGGCGTGATCTTGAAACGGTCGATCTTGAAGCATGTCAGTCGATGGTAGCAATGCCAATGTGGGTTAATCCAAACCGCTTACAGCTTTACCGTTCTCATCTACCTCTGTGACCTGGATGTAGAGCCTGACATATTTGCCCTCTCGAGGAATGACCATCATGCTGCCGGAGTCCGAGTGAATGGCGCAGCGATACCTGATGTCGGCTGATGCGTGGCGTGAGTGTTGATTCTGCAAAGTGCTGAACAGGGTTAAGACTCACGAAAGTCCGTAATAGGAATTATATCGAGCACGCCCCTATTCCATCTAGTCAGTAGTCAACATATTGGTTTAGACATGCAACGGTACTGACCATATGTAATCTGTCTGGTCACCTTCCATCACGGATCCAATCTGCCGCCGGGTCCACGAGTGTGCTCCGTCACAGCCGACCACATATTTAGCCAGAACCTTCTCCGTGCGTGTCTCTTTGGTGGCTTGCGCATTCTGCAAGATCTCGTCTGTGCTATCCGCTGTGAGATTGCTTCTGTAGAGTCCGTTTGGAACCCTTGGCTCTCGCTCATCAGCCGGAACGTGAGGAGACTTAGCATCCGGCCTGGGTAAGCTGCGAAGAGTAACCGAGATGGGATATTCATCGCTTTCAACCTTGTCGGCATCAATAGTAAGGGACTCTGGCATCACACCGTATTCCACCTCAATGCCACTGAACTTGTCGATGTACTTGAGCAGATGGTCCTCAATACGTGCTGAGAGTTGTTAGCAAAAGGTCTGAGGCGATCACCAGGGTGTCTCTGGTACCTTGATGTAGAGTTGCCTGTTGGAAACGACTGAGGCCAGGCATTGTATCCACAATTCTGTCAGATCGGTACAGCTTCTTGTTCTCACCTGGGTTCTGGGAAACAATTAGCAACTATTTCGGATCAAGACGAGGTGTATAGTCGTCACCCAGAATCGAATCTCCAGCATGTGGTTTGCTTCCCGCCAAACATCCTGGCCGAATCCAAGAGAGTCGAATATCTGTCCACAAGTTTGTGAGTTTCTCATCTCAGGATGATCTAGCAATGGGTTGGGCTTACTTCGAACGTCCTACTCTGCAGACCATCTGCTTGCCTGGTGTCCTGTAAGCGATGGGGGTTTCCAGTGCTCCGGGAGGCATCTTCTCACCCGCTGTTTATTCTATCAAATCGCTTGTCGACGATGCGAGCCTTGATTCCAAGCCGAGCCAGCCACGTCATAAGCATGAGGCTGAATATTATTGTGAGCCAGGGCTTGATTGGTGAAGGGTCCAGTTGATGCGCTTACCCCGAAGGCCCAGCTCCGATCACGAGCACATCGATCTTGGATTCGGTTACTGAACTCATTGCGCACTCTGTTTAGGGGACTGTGGTAGAGAAATTCGGCTTGAACCGTACTCAACGATTCAGGTTCAGTCTATATACTTGTGTAGTTTTAATATCACCTACTCGTTCGAACCGTAATGGGCCTCAGGGTGCGGAGGTCCCGATTGGTCCGCGGAGATTCCGGACGGATACCAAAACACCGCTCTATATTCTGGAGATTGGCCTCGGCTTTGGCAGCAGAAGCAGCCATGATTAATAAAACCCGTTAAAGACATATACCGCTTATACCAGTCAACACACCATAACGAGGTCCTAATCCATCTATGGAACACTTCGCTCCTTATGGCTTAGCCCTTGCAGGCACGGCAGGGTTGAACGGCAGAGATGGTTAGGTTGCGGGGGTGGCGTCGTACCGGCCCCCGCATTTCAAATCTGCCTGATCTCGCAATCTTGCTGAAATGCCGCCCCAGACTCCGCATGTTTTCAACGTCGTTCATGACTTCCCAGGTGACAGCTTTTGAATGCTACCAAGACGGCATCAGCAGCTAGATCGGCAAGATGACCAGTGCCGTCTCCACAAACATAGTGGTTGCTTCCACTAGGACAAGGGCGGTCCGCAAGAAGGCCCACGAGGCTTGTGGGCGCTGTCGGGAGAAACGGATCAAGGTGACTCAAGCTCTGAGAGGCCTCGGATTACGCTGACAGTTGTCCCAGTGCAATGGTCTCCAGCCTTGTGATCAATGCGACAAGAAAGAGGTGCAGTGCGTCTTTTCCTTTGCTCCATTGGCTTCGCCAAGCGGGCATGAGGTTCTTGTTGAGTACGTCTCCTCCCGAATGTTGCGCTGCGACTCTAACATTTTTGAAGGAAACTGGATCTCGTGCTTTCCCGCCTCGACAGGATCGAAGAAGAAATGAGCCGGCAAGCCAGGATTTTTGCCCACGCTCCCGATCCGAGCCTGCAGAAGCCGAGGAAGCACCCTTCCGAGAGACGATCCAGCGGCGTTGCTCAGTTGAACGAACAGACTGGGTGCTTCGAGTACTATGGTAAATCCCACTTCGGACATTTGGACTCATCATCCCATCTCACAGCGAGTAGGACAAACCTCGACGTTCATGACCGCTTCTTTTTTGGACAAACGGGTCAGGCAGCTTGACGACGTTTTGGAGGGCAATCCGCCCGCCAAGCGGCGCCGAAACGACTTGGCGGCCGGGCAACAGCCACCGAACGACAAAAGCTCCGACAGTCTTGGGCTAGAGGGCCTAACAAGTTTCTGTGACTACGTTGTCCCGTTAAACGATCTCCGTGGCGATCGATACCTGCGTGAACTCATCGCCGGCCGCCATATCGATAGCTTCTTCCGCACTATTCACATCTTCCTCCCCATTCTCGACATCGGTGCGTTTAAAACACGATACGGCTCGCTGAGGCATCTTTTTGGAGACCGAAGGCTTTTCATAGCTACTCTTGACGATACAAGGCGACCGCAGTTTGTCTGCTTGCTGTATGCAGTGCTTGCACTCGGTGCGCTGTACGAGGATGAGCGAGAAGACAGCTCTTCCTGGGCTTCGTGGTATTTTGCAGAGGCGCAACAAATGCTGGGGCGTCTGTTGGATTCTAGCAATATACAACTGGTCCAAGCTGCCACCTTTCTGGTTTGCAAATCCACACTCCCTCACTTGATCATGTCACACTAACCAACTTCTCTCAATAGGGCGCTTACGCCCAGCATACGATCAAACCCAACCGTAAGACACTCTTCGCACCCTTTTTTGATTTACTCAAGGTCTGATTAAACAGTCGCATACATCCTTAATGGTCTTGCGACTCGATTGGCATTCTCAACCGGACTTAATGTTGAGTCGTTGCATTCGTCGCTCGGAGTCGATGCCGAAGAGGCGAAGCGCACGTGGTGGGTTATTTACATCCAGGAAGTGGAGCTCAGTCTTGATGCTGGCCGACCCATGTCCCTACGCACTTCGGAGATGAATATGGACTATCCCACTGTGCAGGTATGGTTGCCGTGTTACTATTGCCATCTCACTAACACTCGTCGAGCTTCCAACCAACGAAGAAGCCGTGACAGACTCAGCCCAGGTTGCCTTTATACTATACCTGGCAGAATTCGCCAAAATAATTCGCAGAATCATCAAACTTGTACCGAAGCTCTCTTGTCTTGACCGTTCGTGCCAATGCTTACCATCTCTTCAGTCTGCCGAGTCCGCTGAACCGAGCTCGCTCAAGCTGGAACAGAGAGAAGCGTTGCGCCAGGAATTGGAAGGTTGGAGGGCTTCGCTTCCTCCTTACCTTGCCTTTCCAAATGTTAGCCAAGAGGCGTACAACAGCTATGATCCCGCTTACTTGTACAACTGGAAAGCGAGACAACAAAGTAGTCTTCGAATACGTAAGTCGTCTCGTCAATATTCCGCTCAACACGCTGCAGCAAAGTAGACCTCTTGTTGAATTGCTTACACCACCCACAGACTATGACCTTGCAAAAATCATCCTTCTCCGAGGCACCATCCTGAGAAAGCCATTCGACCGCCATGCCTTAGCCAGCAAGCCATTGTCTGGCCTTCACCAATCGTTCTATATAGATGCGGCCAGGGACACAATACGGCATATTCACAAGCTGTTTATATTAGCGCCAGGACTGAGGCGTTGGAGCTACTACTGTTTCTATTGCCTGCAGTCCACCCTTGTTCTTTTGCTCAAGGTTGCCGACGATCAGCATTCTCGAAACCGCCAGCAGAGACATGCCGGTAATCAGCCCAGCTCACTGTCACCCCTGGAGTCTGACCCAGGAAGAGCGGAAGAGGACAGGAAGCTCTGCCAACTTGCTGTTGAAGTTTTCGAATCCATCAAACTGAAAGCCTCACAGCGCTGTGCTGATATTGTGCGCCAATTTCTTCACAAAAGGTCATCGCCGACCCGTAGAGAGCGAGGCCAGGGGCTCTCCCCACCTTTGTCACTGTTGTCGGGACAGCACGAATCTGCACACGACGGGGCCTCCCCCAGCACTACTAAAGATAGGCTCCCCGGGGCAGAGCGGGTTGGAAGTGTCGACGGCAGTGACAACACCTCTCCCCAAGTGTCCTTAAACGGGCTTCATGTCGATCTTTTCGACGCTTTCTACAGCAACGACTTGAGCCAGGATTTTAATTTTGACCCACAACAGGCATTCTTTGGCCATGAAACTCCTCACGCCTCATCTTCGGGAACAAGAATGGAGGGGTTGGGAACCGGTGACTGGATAAGCGGCAGTATGCCTCCTTGTGACAGCTCTCGTCAGCCAGATTGGTCGGTTGAATGAGGATACGTGCAGTAATAAACATTAAACAAACCTTGCTTTGGGTAGCTTTTGTTGATATTGATCGGAGCCTTGCTGATCGCTCAGTGAACGTTAATGGCACTAGTCCACTCTGGATCAACCGGAGAGTCCGACATGTTGCTCCTTCTCCAACGCAGACATGTTCGCAAATCAACTGGTATCTGGCGGGGAGACAACGCAAGGTAAGGTTGGTGCGGAGCCCAGTTTCTATCAAGTATCAACTGGCCGAGAACGCCAATTCATATACACCAACCTTGGCAACAAGAGCACGGTTGAGTGATAGAACCCACTGTCGGTCTGCCAGTTCTAAGCCAGGCAACCTGATCCGCCATAAAGCATATATGCCAGAATCATCCGCCCGAATCAAACGCGTTCAACGACAGGAATCACCAGTTTACCACCTAGAATAATCCTGTTTGTGCCAGAGTAGGCTGTCCGGCCTGTTTGACCCGACATGTCGCAGGGGGGGAGGGGGGGTAATCTCCTCCTCATCGCTTGCCCGTAATGCAAGGGCAAGCCTGTGGCCAACTTCGACAACGATTGAAGTGGGGGGGGGGGGTGGGAATCTTGATGTTGTATCGCTTGCCCTCTTCGACAGCCGCCGGCTTCATCTGATCTAGCACGGGCCTGTTGGTAGTTGACTTGCTTGACAGCGTGCGGTGAGACAAGCGGAACGAGCTTCGAAGAAAGGACACGGCAGGCTCATCATGATTGCCACGCAAGACGAGCTTTTCACTAGTCGAGTCGATGACAAAAGTAGATAAAGATGTCCATGTCCTTTGCGTCGGTAGACACGGCTAAGTCAAGATTGGGGTAGCCCAGGATCTCAAAGTCCTTCAGAGGCGCGCTCTGGAACAGGTCCTTTCCAGTCAATCCGGCAGAGGAGATGGCGTCGTCTTCGGACGAGGCGGCGAACTCATCAAAGGAGAGGGCCTCGTCGGGGGCTAGATAGAGAGAGGTGTAGATAGTGTCCTGGGGAGGCCACGACTCCTCGACACGATAAGAGTTATTGGTGCCTCGGCGAATGAGGAGATCGATCCGAGGGGTTGCTTCAAGTCCGTTGTCTGTCTTGCCCTTGAGAAAGTAGTCGAAAAATATAAGTTGTCTTTCAGTTTGCGCTGGCTCATAGTAGGAGGCAATATGATTGCCCGTGTGTATCTCGAGGAACTTCCACCTTGATGAAGACCTCTCAAACGCTGCTAGATTTCCCGGAAAATGCACCTCCGAGTCCATCCAGTTGCCGGCAGATAAGATGGGCACCTTGAGTTTGGACAGGTCTCTTGTGCGGTCGAATACGGGCCATGGACCCTCGCTTCGCCACGTCTAGTTGGTTGCGAGGCTGCTGTAGTCAAAACATTGCTTTCCTAGCTGTCCCTCACTCAGGCCCGCACCCCTTCCACATTGGTGTCAAAATAATATTGTCGAACCAGTACTTCTGGAATCCCGAGTGCCATACACCACCCTGTCGACACACTTCGCCGTACATGTCGGTCAGACCTTCGTATGGGGCAATGGCGGCCAAGTGTGGGGGTTGGAACATCCCTGCCCAGTAGCAGGCCATGGCGAAGTAGCTGATGCCGGTCGTGGCAACCTTACCGTTTGACTATTCTTGGGTACTGGCCCATTCAACAACATCATAGGCATCTGGATCTGAGTTAGCCACATTTAGGTTTGCAAGCAGTGAGATGGACGACCGGTACCGTGTCCTTCAGAGTCAGTCATCCTTGGTGAGTTCTGTCCGGCCAATGCCGAGTGGATCGAGAACACCGGGACTTCCGCCGAATTCTCTAGCATCGACTCTCACGATGGCATAGCCATGTTCTTTGCACTATATATTATCGGACGCTCTACCTGGTGCACGGGAGTTTGGTGTATGCCTCTCCCAAATGATAGGATCGGGAGTTTCGAAGTATGCGTGCGGCCCAAGCAGCGCGATGGCTCTGGCCATATGGGCGTACATGTCGGTCTGAGGGAGGCCAAAGTCTGTAAAGTGCACGTCTTTTCCATAGGGGCCGAGCGTCAGAAGGACAGGGAACTCTCCGGCCTGCCACGAAGCGGCAGATAGACGTTACAGCAGAGGACAGAGCCATCTCTGGTGGGAATGTAGATGTCCTTAATGCGCTTGTAACCATCCTGTATAGTTTCCACTGTCTTGCGACGCGGGACTGTTTAGAATGCCTCTGCATATGGGAGACATGACTTAGACGTGTGGAATAGCGAGTCAGTTGGTAGAGTTTTTCTTCAATTGAGTGAGACAGCGGATAAAACGGTTACGAGATTTATGGAGTCGGTAGATAATTATTAATGATTGTAATAAAAGTACAATGAGCGGGAGGGAGTGTTACTAAATCAATTGGGCAATGGCTTTGCCGCACTGAAACCTTTATCACGCCAGTCAGCTTCTAAAAGCCCTCCCGCGGGATATCCGCGTTGACACATAGCTCTACTTCTAGCTGCGTGTGGGGACTCGGCATATCCGCAGAGGCATTGTATTACCTGTGGGGTTTAAGGGCACAGGCGAGCTAACCTAGTAGGTCAGGTTTGCTATAAAAGTGTATTATAGTTATAAAATATAAAATAGCTAAAGAGTAATAAG